GGTGAAAGAGCAAAAGATAAAAGGGTGGGAAAGGGGTTAAGAGGGTGAAACAGCAGAAAGGAGGGTGAGACAGGGTTAGAGGGGTGAGACAGAGGTTGGGAGGTTTAAAATTGTTAGTTTAGCCCCACTGGCTAAATTTTCCCTCCCCTGGGCCTATTTTACATACTTTTCTCTGAGAACCCAATAAACAAACAAGGAGCACAATTAGTGTTGTGCATGTATGTCTTTGTGTGTGAGTCTGTGTGTGCGTGAATTAAGAGCGTGGGAGCAAACTAAAATGATTTTCTGTCTAAAATACTGAGTTACGTGGTCACACACACGGCAATGCATGTCCTCGTACACACGCACACTAAACATAATTTCTCATAACAGTCTAATATGGTTCATTTTCAGCTATCAAAACGCACATGAAAAGAGTGTTAACGCTGTCAACAAGCGAGCATGGGATGTGGAACCGTCGTTTTCATTCTCAATATGTCAAGGTTAGGGTGTATTCCAGCAGAGAGCGAGGGAGAGGGGGAGAGAGGAGAGAGAGAGAGAGAGGGTTAGAGGGGGAAGGAGTGTCGTTCTCCATCCTCTGCTCTCCAGAGAATCCCATCATGAAACGCCAAAGCACAAAGAGCTCAGAGCCTTCGACTGAAACCGAGGGACCTTTTATCCAAACATGGGAGCATCACTGGGGCAACAGCGCCACCCAGCAAGCCATCAAGGGTAGTACATGTCTTCTTCTTAAATTCCTGACCTGCCTGTCCCAATATAAAAAAAAAAAAAGTAAAACAAAGGGACATTTTTGCTATCCCAAACTATTCAGCGATCAAACTGAGTGACGGTGAAACGATTTAAGTCAAATCTGTGCCCCCCCCAACACATGAAAGAAGTAATCAAAGCCTCAGTCTTCTTTCTGTGTGGGAATCTAACCCTTAATGGGCTACACCAACCTCACAGCCAAGCACACACACACACACAAAATCAAACTAATTACAATTTGTCCTTTCTCTTTTGTCCTTTTCACAGTGCTCCCTTTTAATTCCCACCAAGAACACACAAAAAAGGGGGGGGGGGGTATGTGAGGAGTATAGCACCGGGTGTACTGAGGGATTTTCCAAAGTGGCACAGTAAAATAACACACTGGAGTGTGTATCGGCTTCCACTCTCCCTCATTTAAATAAGCGCCAACACTGATTTTCTAACAAAAATATGGTACTAGTATAATAACAATGAAATAAGACCCTGTGAAAACTCACAGCCTGCAGCAAGTATTTAAAATATCATTTAAAAAGGGCTGATCTGTAATTCAGAGCGGATATGGTATCAGACGGCGTGCTTGTCATTCCCGGCTATAATCTCCACTACGCTGAGAAACACGCTGTCTGCTGGCAGCACTGGAGAGAGGGAGGAAGAATAGGGAAGAAGGGGTGGGGGGGTGGGGATTTGACTACTTATTTTTCCTTCTCCTCTAGGTGCCGTTCGTTTGTCTGCTATCGGTGGCGAAATCTCAGAACCTATTTTGAGAAAAATCACAGATTGGAGGGGAAAGTGGGAGCATCAAAATAGGAGACAGAAGAACTGGAAAAAGTTTTTCAAATGAAATTATTAGATGGGGAAGGATGATGGAGAGACGAGGAGGAGGTCCAAGGAGACAAACTTTTAAAAGACAAGCTAGCTGATTAATCAACTAATGGAAAATTAATTAACCATTCTGATAATCGATTATTCGTTTAAGAAGTTTATACAACAAAAAGGCTCAAAAAACTTTTTATCTTTAAGGAAGTTTATCATGCGGAAATTCTTTAACAAGCTTTTAAAATGATTAGTTGCTGTTGAGGTTGTAAGTTCATTGTTCACTTTGAAAACACTACAAAACAATCTTACCGCAATGTCCATTTAGTAGCTGTTCTGGAGCTGTTATATCACATGGTCTTCCTCGTGTAATGATCATGGAATTGAAGACGTTCATATTTCCACATTTTTTGACTACTTTAAGGACTTCTCATTCACGTTGGCTTAGAAATCAGGACTGAAACTTTAATTCTTGACTTCTCAAGCCTAACGTTAATTTACTAGCTGTTCTGGAGCTTTCGATTGTATCACACAATGTAATTTCTTCAATAATTACATAAAAAAGTTGCATGTCAAATATCAGATAGGGAAGGCTGATGGGCAGATGAACTGAGACAAGGAGTCATGACGAGATGGACTCCTGAAAAAGGAGCAAGGCAGACAGCAAGGATGATAAGGAAACGATTAGTTGATATCAACAATTCTGACAGTTGATTGACCATTTAAGAAAAAATATGTTAAACTCTTTAAATCTTTCAGAATGTTTATCAAACCAAAATGTATTTTAAAAATCTCAATACAAGATCCATTTAGCTGTTTGGGAGTTTTGATCATAATCTTCCTCAGCAGTTTTGACCAGTCATGATAAAATTGTAGATGTTCCATTTTTTTAACCTTAACTTTTAAGGACTTCTCATCCATGTTGGCTTAAAACAGAAATGTCATTTTTGACCTTGGAAGCAACAGTTGACAAAAGAAATCTAACCACATTAGTAGCTGTTCTGGTGCTTTTGATTGTCTCACACAATTTAATTAGTAAACAATGTTAAAAATGACAGTTAACTGTTTTACTGTGTCTTATATAAGGATCTGCTTTTTGGACTGCTGCTTATCCAAAACAAGCTATTGAAAGATGTGGAAATTGTGACAGACACTTTTCACAGTTTAAAAATAATCATCAATAGATTTATCAACGTCACTATGGGCTCTGGACACCTGTGTTTCGGACTGCTAGTTGGACAAAATTAGCAATTTGAAAACGTCACTGTTTGACTGAATTATTAATCAAATAATCAATACATTAAATGTTGAGGGAAATAATCATTAGTTGCAGCCTTTAATGTAATTGTGAATTACTAAGAATGTCCTGGAAACACACACACACACCCGTGGCACACGTAAACACACATTGGGTTTTGGTTAGACGTGTGGTCTGGACAGGAAAGGGCTGGGGCCGCCACGCTCAGCAGGATACAGACCTCAGGCAGTTCACACTACACACACACATACAGACACACTGCCAGGCCATCCTTACCCACCTATCCTGTTGCAGTGGGGGGTCGAAATGGGCCAGACATACACACACACAGAGTCATAGTTGGCGGAAACTGGCAGTGACATGCTGTCCGGTGGCTCAGGCTTGGGGCTCGGAGGTTGGGCTGAGCCATCTATCATCCAGAAACACAGTAACCCAAGACATGAGTGGCAGACTATCAAACACACACACACACACACACATAGTGAAGAAGAAATATGTAAGTATTCTCACAAACAAAACACTTGCTCATACAAAGCCGACGTCACGGTAGAAACCCTCAACATGAACTGAATCTAATGAGACGTTTTGATCAGATTCCACAGAAGTATTCATGAAGAGGTTTTGCTATTAGCAACAGTGTTATGCTGGCTTTCAAAGGAGAGTTTCAGTGCCCTGCAGTCTAAATGATGATGACAATTTTGGCACTGAAAAGACAGGGTTTTCAGTCACAACAATAAACTTAATATCTTCGGGTTTAGGACTGTGGGACAGACAAAACAAGATAACGTTTGAAGACATCACTTTGGACTGTAATGGGCATTTTTAATTTTTTAGACTAAACAATTAATCCAAAAATAAAATCAAACTAAATGATAACGAAAAGAATCATTAGTTGTACCCCTACAATAAATACATGTATCACTGTTGTTGCACTTTCACCTTTTGTTATAGCACAATAGTGATTGAACTTGGCAAGATCCAGAAAATATACATTTTTGCTCTGTTGAACATCTTGTGTCTTGCAACTTGCTGCAGCCGTTTGGGCATTGATAGCCAGGTATATTCTTGAGGGATCATCAAGCTAGACAAGCGTTCCAATTCCTTTAACAGAGGAAGTTGAAAGCGTCAGTAGCCCATAAGCTTTACTCTTTTGGTAGCCTAGCTAGCTCAAAGCTAATGGATCAGACCAGGAAGAATCAGTGGAGAAACAAACCACACAACTGTTCGTGAGTGTCAAAAATGTCTTTAAAGAAAAATAACTAGGGATTACTTCATTTTATACTTCTGATTGTGAATTAAATCAAATTTGTAATAACATACAGGTAAATCAGTTTGTGCCTCTCATACTGCCATTTTTGAATTAGAAACCGTTGCATTGACAATTACAGCAGAGTTACAGAAAAGACTTATGGCCATGGCTACAAATCCATCTGCTGTCTTTTTACCTAATTTTAAAACACACCATATATTTACTGCAGCACGTGGTAGTCTGTCAAAAGACTAGTAGCGTTGTACTTTATATTTTGCCACAGAGAGCCCCCCCCTAACATTTACCAGAATTTGAAGTAAAAAATGTTGGAAAATAGATCTTCCTTGGTCTAGATCTCTAAATCACTGCTTATGTCTCTTTTAATCAAGTGGTCTCTGTGCTAACAGTGCATTAACACCTGGCTAGTGCTAGTGAGCGAGGGTACCGTACCTCTCTTGGTCAGGAGACATTAGTCATGCTTGTTGTAGCGGCACCTTGAGAAACTCCTTTGAGGGCCACGGTGGCCAAACAGACGAAACACACACACATACAAAACCTCAACAAAAGATCACCAAGACATCTGGAGAAAAGACGACGCATCAGGCTACTAAGCGACCGACACGTGATACTAGAGCACAGAAACCACATGACTTTGAGGATTACCACATACAGAACTGTGGCCCTAAATATCAGCTTCTTTGCCCCCTAAACATCAGCTTCTTTGCCCCCTAAACATCATTATCTTTATTGGCTTTCAAATACCCATTCTTCTGACTGACTGGTGTCCCACTTCCCATGCCAGCTCTTTTCACAATTAAGCCTTTAGCCTGAGTAAGTGCCCACTTCATTTGTAAAACACCCCTGTGAATGATACAAGCAGCTGCTTCTCCTGTCTAAATCTCTTCCTCTCTCTCGCTCTCTCTTTCTCAACAGGCCTCACCATTCACTCCCCTCTGAAAACCTGCACCGGCCAGATTGATGGGAGGATGGCTCTCATTTGGAACAGGAGAAAAGTGGCCAGTTTAAGGGCTGCAACTGTATTTTAAAAGCCACGGGTGTTAAAGAGACTGATGAGCTTGGTGGCAGTGGTGACCCTCCCTCCTGGCTCGCTGCAAAACCCCATTGGGAGAATGAGAAGAGACGAGGGAAAAGGGAGGAGGGGGAATAAATCTGCGTGGCGGCAGGAATCGATCGTTTCTCCCTCCTTCCTGCGCTATCTCATCTGCAGGGGCTGAGAGAGGCAGAGCGGTTTAAACGATCCTGACCTTGTCCGACATAAATAGTCAGAAAAGTCCACGGAGCAGATAGCTTTGTGTAATGCTGGGGTGAGGCGGGAGGGTGGAGGAGGAGAAAAGACGGAGGGAACGCATTGAGATAAGAAGGGGGGTTGAATGAGATAATGCCCTGGCGTTACTACATCAGAGTCCGTGTCGCTCACACGCACAGACGTCGCCGTGGGAAACAGCCTCGGCCTTGCTTCCTGTCTTCCCTCCTTTTTTGCTATCTCTCCCTCTTTTTCCCCTCTGATCAGAAAAAGAAGGGAGTTGAGAGTGAAGGAGGTTGGAGGAGTGGAAAGTCTTTCCCCCTCAAAGCTCTCATCTTTCTTTCTGTGACTACCTGAAAGATGGATGGAGGAAGTCAATTGGCTCCTATGAACACCCATTCTGCACTCCTGAGGAAGACGTGAGTGTTTTAAAGTAAGAAAGGAGCTCTTTTGTGCGGCGCCCCTCTTCTTTTCTTTTGAGTGTAATGCTGCTGTACCTGACAGTGGCGCTGCCCCGGGTAAAGCCAGAAATCTCTGCCTCCATTGTCACCTGTTCCTCTAATCATTTTCCGCCCTTCATGCCACAATGGAGGAGGGCGATAACGATAACGAGGTGAAGCTAATACAGAGCAGCAGCGGGGCCCCGAACACAATGTTCAGATGTCTTCACTCGTTCGCACACACACACACACACACACACCCCATTATACACTTCCGCAATGCAGAAACACACACACACACACACACACACACACTTAGTCTTTTTTCTTCAGTCACTCAGGCGCAGATGTTTGAGGCATTTCATTATAGTGCAAACTGTCAAATTACCTTCGCATTACACAGTTACACACTTTCATAAAACGCAATAAACACAAGAATAACAGTGTATCAAGCTTTTTCTCTGCTTTCTTAAAAGTAGTCTAGTTAGTGGCTTCTAACTGGCTGCTGGTTTGAATCCCAGTATCGGGTAGAAAAATATCTGAGTGGAAGCAAATGAGCCCATTACTCCTTTTTTATTTTCCAAGTTTTGGCCATCATTCAATGGCTTATGATCACATTGTACACACAAAGTGAGATGCAGAGATCTGGGGACACACGTTGAAAGACAGACAGGTTTGAAAAAAAGTTAAACTCATACCCAAACTGTCCGTCGTAAACATCATCACAGTTTAAAGACCAGACCAATTGTGTGCACAGTTTTCCTGTACAATGACATGTTTCTTGCCCTATTGGACTTGTCACCATGTTCTCAGCTCTCTCTTCAGGGCAGGAGTTCCCAGCCTTCTTCACTCTGCACACTATTTTTATATTGACAAATATGTAGTGCCAGTGGCAAGGAGGGACACGACTGAAGTAATAAAAGTCAAATGTTGTATATTACGACACACACATTAGGGCTTTTATCTCCTCTGAAGAAACTGTCAAACCCTCAAAAGTTTTAGCTTTTTACTCGTTTAAACTCATGTAGCTAGTAATAATGCGCTTGTTCAAAATCAGTACATTGTTGTTGTGGGTACGACAGGGAGTGATAGAGAAAGACGCAGCTGAGAGACCACGCCAAGTCCAAGGTAATTACTACACACATTGTGCATCAAGTTATACAATAAGTTTTTTGCCAAATCATATTGATCAACACGTTCTCACTCCCAAGTCGTCACATATGGACGCATGGTCATCAGTCGCATTGGGAATCCCTTTAGCATCATTGCTGAACGCTAAAAGTAGGTGAAGTATATAAAAAACAGAAACCAGAATTTTACCCAGGACACTAGTGTTCATTTCCTGCAGTAAACAAAAATACAACATTGATTCTTTTTTAGTTATGCAACTTAACATACTTATTTTAACCCTAACCATGATTTTTTCCTAAATCTGACCAAGTAGTTTTGGTGCTTAAACCCAACCAAATTGTGACTTTTTGCAACGTTAACCAGTACTTTGTCTAACCGGATGTTGAATATTTGTTATTGATAACTTGACTGCGGAGCCTTACATGCAAAGAAAAATGTTATGGGTACCCAGGGCGTAAACAAGCGACACCAAGAGGTCTTGACTAAGCATCTATACGTGACAAGCTGGAAGTGAGAATGTGTTGTTTGTTTGTTTCTTTGCGGGCTAGAAGGCAATATTTCGAGACCTGGTACCGGTCCACAGCCCAGGGGTTGGGAACCCATGCTTTAGCGTGTGCATTTATCACAACTGACAATGGCCAAAATGAGCTGTTTGCTTGCACAGCCTCATACCTAGAATTTTATATTAACAGGCCCGCAATTAAAGGACTAAATTTACTGTTTTCCTTGCAAGCATCAACACAGAGAAGAAAATCACTGCTACTGAGATAACTTTCCAGACTTTGTACTATGTTGCCACAAAAAATAAACCACTGTGCACCATCTCTGCGTCTGATAAGCCGTTTAACTGGACTTCCTGGTACCTATTTCTTCTTTTCACCGGGACCCTGCACCAACAAAAACATTAAAAACGACAGAAAGAAACAGACGATCTGCTCTCAGCTTCCACAATCCATCCATTTTGGACCTAGGCTCTGCAGAATTCCCAAAATGACAAAGCCCCCTCCTCCTCACCCACATCCATGTGATGTTGAATTGCTGGGCCTCGCCAGCAAGGTGGAGATGAGAAGGCTGCTGCTCTCCGACTGTGTTTATCAGAGTCTGGCATCGCTGTAATTTCAGTGTTCAGATGCAATCGCTCCCCACTCCCCTCAGGAGCAAACAATAACAAGCACAAATACAATAGACAAACAAGGCCTGCAGGACATGTATGCACAAACACACATATCTATATGCACACACAGGCATGCACAAAAGCATACACTTCGGACGCACAAACAACAATGAACCCACAAACACCTTCGGTTTTGTTTTCTGCCTTTATTTGGCAGTAGCTGGTGCCAGAAACCTAAACATCAAATGTTTGCATTATTATGAGAAACCACAAGATCTATCTAAAAAGGCTGCACTCAGATCAGATACTGAATCTGAATATTGTGGCTAAATTGACCAGAACTAAACCCTTTGTGTGACATAAAACCAGAATAATGTGTTATTTTGCTATTACACTCTGTGGGCCATTGTGATTTCAGTTTTGTTTAATAAGACTTAAAAGAGCCCACATTTCTTATCAGACAGCGCAGCCTGGTGGACACTTGGGGAACTGCAAACCCCTGCCTTCAACTGGAGAGTGCAATGCTTCTGTTAGATGAAGCTACAAATGATTTAAAAAATAGTTGATTTATTTGATTGGAAATTCTACTCCTTTGCAATTTGCACAAGAGGGTCAGAGGTCATGGTCAACTGCCTTCTGTTTTTCTGGTCTTTAAGGACTTGGGGGCCATGCATAAGGATGCTTCAGTGTGATGGATGCTTTGTTTTTAGGACCCACAGTTGTTCACAACATTTGCTGAATAAATGCCAACAAAGCGAATCACACGGCAAAGGAAGTCGATCTGATTACTCAGTGGTTGCTTCAAAGTTTGGACTTTGCGCCACGCAGAGCAACCAGAAAAAAAATCACTTCTAATATTTATGAAATTTGCGGGACCACAAAAAATTCAAATCAGGATTAAAATATTGTTTTAAAAAGTCCATATGAGAACATTTTAAGTAGAATCTTGATAATTCTGACTTCAGTCTGTTTTCTGATTGGAATCTTAGAAACAGGTAGGAAAAAATATCAGTCTTGATTATGGAGGAACTTTATTATACTATCTGAACTCATCTCTTTTCAAATGTTTGTCGACCCAAGTTTACTGCTGTTTCTAATTCAACAGCTTCAATGGTGTTAATTTAAAAAAAACCTACAATAAAGCCCACCTCGGCATTCCTTAAGGATGTAATTCACAAGAGTTGTAAATCAGATTTCATTATATAATATCATGATTTAGCGCAAAAGTCTTTTCACAGCCTTTAATACAGACATGTATTAAAATGTCTATCTTAACAAATGTGCCCCAAAAATATTTTGGTATTTGATTCTGGACATGCTTAAAAGCACTTCAGTAATGATGGCGTCTCTAAAGGTCTGTTTCATTTCTAAATCTTTAAAAAAAAAAATAAATAAAAAAGGTCCATAAGGAAACATTTAACCTGGTCTAGAAATAGTCAGATAGGACTCAGCTATTACCATTGATTCGTTCTTACTTGGTTATTCATACACCACCAATCCCACAACAAAGGGTGGATAACAATTAGAGACGCACTGATTCAACCTTTTCTCTCCTGATCTCAGCGCTCTGTTCCCAAGTTAAAGTCTATGTATATCACTGTGTGGAACTCATTGAGGCCAGGGATGCATGGCATTAAGTTTGTGGCCGACCGTGACTGAATTTAATGGATAGTTCAAATGCTAAATTTTGAGCTTAAGGTCAGTTTCACAGCTGATACTGATCTGATGGATCAAGAATCCCTCACAACAATTGTAGTAACCCCTTGAAAAAGACTTCCAACACTATTAGCTTCACAAATTTAGCATTTATTTTTAGAGGAATAATTGTGTTGGCTTGTATCATACTGTAATGTGTTTGGTATTTTGCCCATCCCCTGTATGTTTACACAACACAGGAATACAATCTATACTGTACAATCTACATTTCTTCTTTACTTTTGGCCCACGAGACCCTGCAACTGCATTTCTAACTAAAGAAATATCAAAACATCAAAATGGATGCATTCCAAAAGGAGTGAAGCGTAAACATTCAGCTTTCTCAAGTCATCAGCATTTATTGTGAAGAAAAACAGATACAGGGACTGATGAAAGTATGAGGAATTGATAAGGTTTATTTTCTCTGTATATTTTACAAATAGAAGCACAAATGTTCAGACTCGACAACACCTGTCTGAAGTACTTTTGAAGCGCTATAGGCAATGGAAGCGAGGATCTTGCCCGTTTATCTGCAAAGAAAGAAAAAATAAAATAAAAAAAAGGTAAGAACAGAACTTAAACAGAGTTTTTGACTTGGCTGGGGACAGTTTTTAACTCTGGAGACACTCTGTAAACCTAAAGGGCATCTATACTATTACAACAAAAGTATTTATGGTGCTCGCTTCTACATAAGACGCTGATCAGACTAGCCCAGAAGGGGACACTAACATTATAGTCTACCTTGTTACCTCCATTGTTAAAACAAGCCTCAGTTCCTGAGTTCAGCAGAGGGTGAGGAGGAGCAGATTAGGTCAGAGGAACATTAGTCACGAGAGAATGTGACAGCTTCTGGATGTGTATTTATTTTTAAAGATATGCACGGTGAGAGAAATAAACATCTGAAAGGTCAGAAAAGTTAGCAGAGTAATGGAGGAATGTCTGCAAGTGAACAGGATCATGGCCATGGTGTGGAAAGAAAACGGACTTACAGAGCAGCAGCTCCAGAGATGATCTCAATGAGCTCCTTGGTGATGACGGCCTGTCTGGTACGGTTGAAGGTGAGGGTGAGCTTATCAATGATGTCAGCTGAAGGGAAGGGACAGAAACCCATCAGTCAGTCAATGTCAAATGCAAAACTTAAAACGTGGAAGAACAGTCGTCTAAGAGCATGGCTCAGCATCAAAACGAATGTTTCAAAGTAAATCATAATGTGAAAAGTGATCATCACGAGATAATAGTAACAAACTAATAGTGAACATTGACAATATTGCATCAACTGCCAAATTCATCAGTCAGTAAGTCGATAACAAAATCCCCAACTATTTGGATAATCGTTTAAACGCAATTGCTTAATATTCACAAAATTTTGCTTCTCAAATGTGAAGTTTTGCTGCTTTTTTATGACTTATATTATTGTAAAAATAGTTATTTAGGTTGTTTTGACAAAAACAATCTGAAGACATCTTGGGCTCTGCAAAATTGTGGTGCAACATTTCAGTTTTCTGACATTTTCAAAACAAAAAGATATTTGAGATTTATCAATAAAAAATAATCATATGTAGTTGCAGCACTAATTACACCTCATGGCAATGGGAAGTACTTGCCTGAAACTGATTTTCCTTTGTCAATTAACCCATTAATCATTAAGTATATAAAAATGTCCATCCAAGTTACAAGAGCCCAAGCTGCCGTATTCAAACAGTCCAAAACCCGAATCAGTTAAAAAATGACACAAAACTGAAAATCCTCACATTTCAGAAGCTGAAACCAGAGAAAGTTTCACGCCGACTACTGACCTTTTAGGCACCGATTGAAATAGCTGCTGTAATGTTACGTAAATGAAAAAAAATTTAGGAGCACAGCAAAAAATGTAACAGAGTTTAACTATTATATACATATTTATGCTACGTGTGTGCTCCTTCTCTTTGTGTTCAACTATGGTGTGAATCCATTAGAGGACTATGGAAGTGAAGATCCTTGTATTTGGACACTCAATATCGGCCTTAATAATTTGTTTTGAAAGTTTGACATTGAAAACAGCTTTTAAAACACTGATCACTCATCTCACAAAAAAAAAAAAAAAAACCTTTACTGGGATTGGTGCTAGTGTAGTTTTTGAAGCAGGGATGGATTCATGATACACCAGCAGCACCCACACAACCCACACCAAATGTAAACAACACTACTGAACAGTGTTACAATAACTTTAGTAAAACCGATGTAAAAGAGAAGAGGAGCGTGTTGCTCTCAGGAGGCTAGAAGCACATACTGGCACACCCATCTTTCCACTTTCACACAACATGGGGGAGAAACTAGTTTAAATGAGTGTAATAGTATTTATATAATTATGTCAGATAAAAAGTTACATTTTAATCAAATAGTATACTGTTAGTATGTTAATGATTTAATTTTATTATGTGCATTGTCATTTTATGTAATACTATATTGCTCACCACTAGTATAGTATTTATTCCAGTTGGACAAAACAGCAGTTCTTTCATTAAATCCTTGTGCAAAAAAAAAAAAAAAAAAAAAAACAGCTTACATTGGTCTCTTAATTTGTTAATGTTAGTATCTCAATCAGAACCATTCATGCAGAAAGAGTTCAACATCTGAAAGTTTACTGTGGCACGTCAAACTTTTTTCTTGTCCCATCCAATCAAGGCTGCGATTGGTCAGTTGACGAGAACCAAAATTGACGAGCACATCGGTTTTATGAAAAGTTGAACATGTTTCAACAAAAGGCACCAGACATAGCCAGCTAGCTAAGCCCACAACCTCCTTATCTTCTCCCTACTGTCTTCTGTCTCACCGCTCCAGCTGCTGACATCTGTCTTTGTTTTGAAAGGAGCAGCTCAAGCGGCCACCGAGCAACGTGCTCTGGTGACTAGCCGGTTTTATTCCTGCCAGAGTTTCAACAACTCTCATATGACTGACACCAGTTTTGCGTCGCATCCTGCACGTTTAACGACGCGGTGCACTGCAGGGGGGGGGGACTTTACACATAATCCGCCATAATTTCAAAGTAGCACATTAACATCCAGTTCATCCCTTTATCAGCCCTCTTAAATTTTAATCAAAGCTATGTGAAACCATTTAACCACCACCGGTATAAATCATGCTGTCTATGATACAGTGAGCTGCTGTTGAATGCATCTAATACTACAGGAATGTCTACAACAAGGACCTGAAACTTTGAGATTTCATTTAACTTATACGTTAACGTTATAACTATGACTGGTTGCGGGAGAGGAGAAGTGACTCGGTCTGTTTTTATTATTATAAATTATTAAAGTCATGTAACTAACAAAAGACCAACTCACCGCTCACACAGCCCTCTACGTGTTTATAAATTCTGCGTGAGCTCCGGTAAACTCCGGTCAACTGATTGTTTTCTTCTGTGGTGAGGCAGTGCAGTTAACAGGGGAGCTGCAGCTGGTCGCCCTCTGGTGGATAAACTATGCAACACCCATGACATGAGTGACTTTTTTTTGTTTGTTTGTTTTTTACATTCATATCTGCTATTCTAAATGGCAGATGCCATTAAATGCAATTAGCTCATATCGGCCGGCGAATATATTGGTCGGGCTCTAGTTCGCACGTATAGATTTTTAGGGGCATATGCGAGCAAAATGGTCGCACTGTAGAGCCCTGCAATCTGTTCTTCATGGGACTGATAAAGTTGCACATTTAACACTGCCAAGCTAAATCCTTTTTTAAAATCAGAAGATTGAGATTTATTTTCCATACTAAAGACAAATCTTTCAAAATAATAGTCTTATAGAGTAGATCTCCATGCTTCTAGATAACTTGATTTAATTGCTTTAATATTTGTAGGCACTCCTCTCAGCTCCTGAATGTGTGTTTTGCAGCTTATTGAAACATTAATACGATGTAGTTGGTCCTAAATATGAGTTCCAACAAATCATCTGATCTGTGCCATGTACAGAATTAGCGTGAGTGAGTGTCCTAATTAAATCAGGTGTGTCCAAGTGAGCGCTGACAAACTTTAGATCCATCCCCCCCCCCCACCCCCCAGAGAGGTCATCCCCTCAGATAATTCATTTGGAAGGAAAGAGAGAGAGATATATATATATTTCCTAAAATACTGATCAGCCCCCAACTCATGAAAGAGAGGAAAGTGAAGTGTGTTAGCAAGGAAGTCCAGAGTCTTACAGGCGTTCTTGCTGGCATTGTCCATAGCAGTCATCCTGGCACTCTGCTCACTGGTGGAGGACTCCTTCATGGCCAGGTAGAGGATGTTGACCAGAGCAAACTCCTGGTAGTTCCTCAGCACATCAGCATCAATGTCATCATAGATGCCCATGCTCTCTGTACAAAGAACACAGATGTTCAGTATCTCTCTGGCTGAGGTTCTGAGTGAAGCTTTTCAACAACTACAACCACCATACCTGCGTTAGCAACTGTGTC